TAATTGCTTCTTCTCGTGGTTCTGATTTAGGATTCTTGGATCGTGTGGTTTGAGTTTGGATTAGTAGCTGCTTTCGTTAGGTTGTGGTTAGGTTGTGATTTTGCAAGTTTTTCGGTTAGACTGCCTTTATGCCTTAGGCTCCTTTTGTTCTTTCCGAGTTCGATCTTTGTCGTTATGGTTTCCGTTCCGCGTTTCTTGTCCCTACAATTAAAATCAGGTCGAGATCGTCATTTGTTTAGAGGAGTCTTCCTAGGCGTAGTCAAGTCGGGTCTCCTCAATATCGCCGTTACCAGAAGTTTTGTGTGAAGATTAGGTCTTTTCTGGATCCTTTGTTCTTTGATTTGGACAGGTAGTCTTATTCGCCATAGAAGGAGCCGCATGGTCTTGCTTTTGTTCTTTCTCGGGACTGCGTTCCCAGTCGGTTTATCTTCGTCTCCCTTTCGCAGGGCTTTGACTCCGCAGATTTGATAGTCTGTCGGCTTAGAATTCCATAAACGAATTCTAAAAACGTATTCCACCGGAATATATTCCGGTGTTTCTAATAAAATTTAGATGATAAAAAACAAAACATTTTTTGTAGAAAACTTGGTGTATAAACGTTAAGTCTTAGAGCAGCTACATATTTGTCTTGATTATAGTGACAAGAATTTTGGTCAATATAAATATTATGCTTATGTGATAATATCAAGCTGAAATCATTTGCAGTTTTTTGCTTTTACATATATGACTTTAATTATTACGAAGACATTTATTTGACATGGCAAAAACCTTACCGGTTGAACCAGGCAAACGCACGAGAGTTTATGAGATAATTAAATAATTAATAACCACCTAGTTTTAAAAATTATTTTTGTTATTTTGCCATTAACCAGTACCTTTTTTACATGGAAAATCACATCACATGGCTATACATCTAAACTATAATAATGTATGTTTACCTACATTAATAAACTATAAACTTTACATAGCTACACATCTAAAACAAATAATGTATTTTTAGCAGTGTTCAGAAAACCGGCCGGTCGAACCGGTTCAACCAGGAATCGTGCATAAAACCGAGTCCAAGTTGAGCTAAAAACCGGAATACAGTTAAACCGTCAGAACCGGTTGAAAACTGGCAAAACCGGTGATCCGATTTGATATAAAAACCCGGTTTACCGTACTTTAAGTCCTAATTTAGCGTTTTTAAAGAAAAAAAAGGGTTTTAGAGTTAATAATTAAATGACATTTAATTGCACTGAATTCAAAATAGTTTTCTTTTTAAAAAATTTTCCAAAAAGAAATCATTTGTAATTTCCAATTATATGGAAAACCAAAAAACTTCCCAAATAGGTAAACGATTTTCAAATTTTAAAGATAAGACAAAGTGAATTTTTTGTTTGGTTTAGATTATATTGTTGTCTATGCTATTCAATTACCAATTCTAAGCTGAGATTTGAAACCATTTCGTTCAATCTTG